GTACTATTTTAAGAATCAATAAGAATTTGGAGGCCTTTTCTTTAGAAGTAAAGTTTGATTTCATGCTTCAAATAAACTGAGGATTCTCTCAACTCCATTTGTTAAAGAGAGCTAACAGGTTTTTGAAGGCAAGAGAAATGAAGAATACTGAATGCCAACAAAATCACAAAAATCCCTTAATTGTTCAATTTGAACAGCATAAATGCTGGATAAGAGAACAATTTCATGACACTTACATCAAAATCAGTAGGAAGGACATCAGATGCTCTTTGAGCAGTATTATACAGAATATGAGCAGGACAGCCAATAGCTTCCATAGAATCATTCATGCTTTGCTGCAACTTTGACTAAACAATGTCTGCACCTTATGGAAACATCTGCCAACATTTATATTTGTATTATCTCCACTAAAAGCAGTACAATTTTCCTCAACTGCTAACTTAATAAGAAAGTTTCTGGGCCTGGCCAGATAGCTCAGTTGGTTAGTGTCATCCCAATAAACCAAGGTTGTGGGTTTGATCCCAGTCGGGGCACATACAAGAATCAATGAATGAATAAGTGAAACAACAAATCAATGTTTCTCTCTTCCTAAAATTAATCAATAAATAAAAAGAAAGTCTCTGCAAAATTTTACTCCTGTTTCTGAAGTCTCATCTGGAAGGGATTTTATTCCAAATAGCCCTACAAGAAGAGTATTGTACAAGCAAAGCAAACATTTTTTTCTGTATTGTAATTACTTGCATCTGTAATGATGCCATACAAAGATGAGCCATTTAGAGCTTTGATAATCACTGCAACAGTAAATAGAGTTATTACATTTTTAATTATTGCAGTAATTTTGTCCTGGCATTTGGAATTTTGCTTGCAATTTTGGAATTAGAAAATACTTCTGGTAGCAGTACATTCAAAGAGTCATCTGAAACCCTGGCTGGTCGCTGAGTGGTTAAAGTGTCATCCCATGCACTGAAGGGTCTCGGGTTCGATTCCCAGTCAGGGCACATACCCAGGTTGTGTGTTCAATCCTGTGGTCAGGGCTTGATGTTTCTCTCTCTTTCTCTTCCACTCTCTCTCTCTCTTTCTCCCTCTCCCCTCCCCCCCTCGCTCGCTCTCTCATCAATGAAAAACATCCTCAGTTGAGTATTTAAAAAAAGAAAAAAGAGAGTCATCTGAGCTGAAAGACTGACAATATACAGTGTGGGCAACTATTACAGCCTCTGCTATGATTATTTTATCTTCTTCATCCAAATATCTCTTAATCAAAATTTTGTTTTATTGCTTACTTTGATACAAGTTTAAAAAATCATACATATTTTATTCTTAGTTGTTAGTATATGCTGGTTTATATCTGACTTTCTACCATTTTCAATACTGAATGGACACTTGCATACTGCACAAAGAGTTTCAAAAGACTTTTTCTCATTTAATAAATGTCCACTGTTCAGAAAATTCATCATGAAATTCACACTTGCATTTTGGCATTTTAGGATTCAAATGAAAAAGAGGTAACAATCACTTTTCAACAAGGGTGCTAAGACAATTCAATGGGAAAAGAATAGCCTGTTCAAGAAGTGATGCTTCTTGGCTGGTGTGGCCCAGTGGTTGAGCATCGACCCATGAAGGTCAGGTTAAATTTCTGGTCAGGTTGCAGGCTCCATCCCCAGCAGGGGGCGTGCAGGAGGCAACCGACCCATGACTCTCATCATTGATGTTTCTCTCTCTCCCTCTCCCTTCCTCTCTCCAAAATCAATAAAAACATCTTTTTTAAAAATTAAAAAAAAGAAATGGCGCTAAGACAACTGGATAGCCCCATGCAAAAGAGTGAAGTTGGACTCTTACTTACACCTGATATGAAATTTAACTGAAAATGGATCAAATATCTAAATGTAAGAGCCAAAAATATTAAACTCTTAGAAAAAAATGTAGGGGTAAATCCTTGGATTAGGCAATGGTTTCTTAAATAAGACACTAAAAGCACAAATAACTAAAGAAAAAAATAGATAAATATAGATTAAAAATGCTGTGCTTCAAAGGACACAGGAATGTGAAGACAACCCACAGAATGGAGAAAATCTTTGCAAAGCATATATCTGACAAGGGATATATAAAGAACTATTACAACTTAATAAAAAGACAATCCCATAAAAATGGGTGATAGTCCTGAACAGACATTTCTCCGAAAGGATATACATATGGCTAATAAAAACATAAAAAATATGCTCAACATCATTAGCTATCAGGGAAATGCAAACCAAAACCACAATGATGGTGGTGAGAGCATGATGTAATATATACAGATGTCAAATTATAATGTACACCTAAAACTTATGTTATAAACCAGTTACCTCAATAAAAATAAAATGTAAATAAAACAACAAACAAAAAATGAGATACCACTCACACCCATTAGGATGGTTATAATAAAAAAGATGGATAATTAATATTGGTGAGAATGTGGAGAAATTGGAACTTGCATATTTGCTGGTGGGAATGTAAATGGTACAGCCACTTTGGGAAACAGTTTGGAAGTTCCTCAAAAGATTAAACACAAAGTTACCACTGACCCAGTAATTGCACTCCTACCTTATATACCCAAGATAGTTGAAAACATGTATGTCCACACAGAAACTTGTACTAGAACGCTCATAGCAGCATTAACTAAAAAACGTAGTAAAAAGGTGTTAACAACCCAAATGTTCATCAACTGATAAATGGACAAGAAAGATGATATATCCATAAAATGGAATATTATTCAACCATAAAAAATGAAATTCTGGTACATGCTACAACATGAATGATACTTGCAAAAAGTATGCTAAATGAAATAAGTCTGTCACAAATGACCACATATTATATGATTCTGTTTATATGAAATGTCCAGAATAGGCAAATCCATATGTAGAGAGAAAGATTAGTGATTGCCCAAGGCTGGGATGGTTGGAAAGAAATGGTGAATGACTGCTAAAAGGGTGACGAAAATGTTCTAAAAACATAGGGGGGTTAATAGCAACCATCACAATAATTGAAAACGTTGTCTTTGAAAATCTCATGGCTGCAACATTGCGTTTGTCACAAGTTCAAACTCAAAAATAACGGCGAGAAGTTAATCTTGAAAGGGTTGTGAACCTAGAACTTGCGGGGCAAGGACGGGGGG